AAATAGTTAAGTCAAAAACACTTACACTACTATTGCATTATTTGGCCTTTCGACATTCATTTCTTGGCCAAAATCTGAAACATGGGTGCTGGAGTAAGTATCTGTAATTGTTTGAATGAATGGTGTGAAGAAACATCTGTGGTATTAGTTCTAGAAATTTTCATTTTCGGCCTTGTGAGGTTTGCCATTACGTTTTGCTAACACTCAGTTTTTGAGGTTTTTCTTAGAATTCATCTTACTTTTTTTGCAGCCGGAATGGTACTGGTCACTGCTGGAGTTTGGAGTGAAGCTAAAACGCCATGCTCCGTACTTTGGTTTGACTATCTTCATGCCAACGGTAGGTTGTGGATTCAAAAACTTCTGAGTTTTTGCCATAAATGGAGTCAAGTAGTAACGACTCTGTTCATGCTCATTTTCATGGTTTAATCCATGAACAACAGTTGTTAATGACATTACGTTAATGGGATGTTTGCCAGACAATGATTATTTTCATAATTAACAAGCGCGGTATAGAGGAAACTCTATCTAAAATAAATTTTCGGAAGCGAAAATAGCGTTTTTACTTTGATTTTTGGATCGTAGAAACTTGAGTTTTATTTTACAGATTATAACTTGCTTATTGACGCTATGCTCATTCTGGATCGACACACCAGCTATGGCAATTGCTCTTCTGATTTTCAATGTACTACTTCAAGGTCTATTTGGCTGGGATCTTATCCGAGAACTCCCTCCTGGCAGCGGAAGTGTTCCAAAAATAGGTGAAAAACAATCAACTAGTTTACTTTTTTTTAGTTGCAACTTGCTCCTCTCAGCAAAGCGCTATTTTTCAGTTTCCCTATATGGTTTCAACCTTTCGATGACAACAATCGCGTTCATGATCAATGTATTGGCACAATTTTTCGAATCTGTTCTGCCTGGTGACTTGGAACTTCCTGAAAAGGTGTGGGCGAAAAGCACTTCCTACCTTACTAAAAATAAGTTTTACACTTCAGGTCACCACATTGCCGGAAAAGCTACGACTTGGACAGCTCTTCCAAGTGAAAGGACTGTCATTTGATCCGCAGATGTATGTTTTTTGATTGTTCAGATGGGATCAGAACGATAATAAGTTTGGGAAGGCGGGAAAACGCATTGAAGAAATTTCCGTATGATGTCAGTATGGCTATTTAGAAGGAAAGGATGTCAATTTTGGAATAGTATGCCTATCCTATATGCATTGAGAATGAGAAGTATTGAGCTCTTGAGGGACAAAACTGCTTCCATTTTCCTTGCTTCCAAAAAACCTACAGTGTGCAAGCCCTGACAGAGCCTGTAAATCTCTCCAGTAGTTGGTTATAAATATG